TACAGGTATCTCGCGTGAATGCATCAGCCACCTAACAGAAGTATTTTCTGGCCACTCAGCTATTACAAAGAAGAGTAGAACAAGAATTTGATTTAATGAAAGCTTTTTCAACAGCTTCCTTATTTATCTTAGATACAACTTATGCTGTCATACAACTTCAGTATGTACCACAGAAGTCACATCAATTCTTAAGTATTAAATCGCAAGAATTGCAGGGATCGGAAAACATTGTTCCACCAGATGCAATGTTGTATGATGTGTTAGATGTATTGTTAATATTTCTAGTTTCCTCTAAATCACAATGTTGTCAGGGAACACAAGTCAATCTAGAGAAATCTGGTACAGTATTTTTTTATGTTGCTGTAGCACCATAAAACAAAATGATGAAACTAAACACTTAGAATCAATGTATTTTTCCTTTACTATTTACTTCAGATCCATTGTATTAGATAAGACCATTGCAACATAGTTTCTACATTCAATCAGTAATTAACTAGTAACAAGAATACAATAAACACCTGCAACGGATGGATGTACATTGAAAATGTAACTTTTGCTATATATTGTATTAAAATCCAGTATGAACCTCCAAATCTACACTGGTTGTATTCCAACTTGCAATATTAACTGATAAAAGAGCAGCTATTTCACATTTAAACATCTAACACCAAAATCAGCTAAAAAATAGATGCTAAATTGTTAAGAATTAATGCTTTTCAGATTTTTTTTTTAAAATGTAAGGAAAAGAGCGAATTATTGTTTATCATTTCATGCACTCATCATCTCCTTATTTAAGCTTGTTTTTATATAGCAATAAGTAGTGCTTATTCAAAAAAAAAAAAAAAAAATCGAGGATGAAAACATTAGAAACCCCAACAGACACACTCTGAACTACATTTAGCAAAGATGCACAATTCTGCAGAAACAAAAATAATTGTGGAAATGGCAGACTTAAGTGGGAGCAGTTACTGATCCAATCAAATGAGATTCAAACTGTAAGGAGATATCACACTTGATATCTACAACTGTTCTACAGTTTCCATTTTATGTTTTCTACCCATGATTTATGAAACTTTTTCAGAAGCTTTGTGACTTCTTCTTTAGCCAAACGAAGTCTTTATAATTTCCCTTTAATTGTGTTTTGATGTGCTTTCCTACAGCACCAACATCAACATGCCAGACTTTACTGACCTTGTTACTCAGCATCATCAATGTCAGCCTGGCATTGTAGGCTCAGAGTTGTACACAATCTGTGAGTGTTATCTTGGACTGCTATTGTAAGAAGTTTACACCATTTTTTCTCAACATCACACATCAAAAAGATTTCAGAGGGTTGTCCATTTCATTATGGAAAAACAATCTAATAAGTTTTTATATTTTGCTCCAATGAACCCCACATGCCCTAATGCCCCAATTCTGCAAAGTAACATGCTGTGCGTTCCCAGTACATACTACTTTTTTTTTTTTTTTAACCAGTCTTTCCAATCCAGAAGAGACTATTGGAATCAATTCGTCTGTAGTCCCAGTTGCTGAAATATGCCTCATTAGAAAAGCCCTGGACTAGCTCAGCTTGCTGACTTTATCCTCTCTCAGCTTGCTTTGTTTTTCTCACCATACATTAAAAAAATGTAAGAATTAAAGACTGAAAAACAAGGTTAAAAACTATCAACCAACTCAGTAATGCCAACTGCCTGTCTGCCTGTCACCTCGGGCCTCCATGCCCAAGAAGAACCAACCATGCTGTATTTGTGATTTCCATGGTAATCACTGGCACAGAAAGGAGCAGCAACACATGCCTAAATGGAGTAAGGGCTATGACAAACAAGAAAAATCAGTCACTTCTGATTGAGACAGCATGCAGACACTGGTGGCCACAACAGAGGAGTGTAATCCAGCCTAAGGACCAAGTGACAGCCAAGGCTCAGTGGTACACCCTCTGCAACACAAATGTCCCCCTGCTTCCCTGATGCTCAAGCAGAAACAGGCTAGCAGTGGGGTCCCCAGAACAGCTTCTGAGCCAGCAACTCAGACACTTCCATCTTTCTCTGGATCTGGAGAGCATAAAGCCTTTCATAATGAAGCTTCTGTATCCTTCAAAAAGCAGTTCCCTTTTCCTCACTACGAAACTATCAAAAAATTCCCACCAGCTGCCTTCCCATTGCCCTAAAACAAACAAAATCTGTAACTAACCAGTATCATAGTGCTTAACCCTTATTACTCTTTCCACAGGTCCTCTTAGTGTTTTCAGCAAAAAGTAAAAAAAGCTGTAAACCTGCATTAGAGTATCAACATGTTGATCACAAAGTCCTGTTAGCTGGTGGAAAACAGGACACACAGTAATTCAAGTTTACCTGAGAATACTTTGTGACTGCAGAAAAACATAAAAACAACTACTATTGCAGAAGATAATTTACACTGTTCACAATTTTGCCAGGTTTTATCCTTTTCAGTTACTATCCTCTACTGTGTGTTTAACCCAGAATTTAATATCCATTTTAACAACACAATCAGAAAACAGGGAAACAATTCTGTTCCCAAAGTAAGAACCACTTGTACCTCCTTCATTAGCAGCTCTAGGAAACTTACTCTTTCACTACAAGATGGCTTTCCTATTCCAAAACAAAACAAAAGTCACTAAATTTCCAAATCACTACAACTGCAAAACAGAGAAATTTCTAAGCCATTCCTTTGTGTGACTTGCATTCTTTTCATGTTGGCCAGCTTGTAGAGACACTGCACAAATGCACAGGTAATTCAGTATGCACAAGTCCAGGAGCAAAGACAGTAGTATGTCCTAAGGAGCAGTTGTTCCCTTCAGCTCCACAAAGGAAGAGCCAGCCACTGTGATGGAGACTTTGCTTGCCAGAGGAAGAGTCTGTTGAGAACAACGTTTTACAGAAGTGGACCTGGACTGTTTTTTTTTAACACATTTCTTACAAGAGCTGGTGTCGAAAGATTTTAATTATTTTGTTTAATGAAATGTTTTTCAGTTTATTTCCAGTACTTGGTTATGTCCTCCCACTGTTCTGGTAAGCACTGCTCCTTCCCTTGTTTTCAATAATTCTTGAAATCCTGAAAAACTGAACTACTTTGTATATTAACAAAAGTAATATTTCCTAACAGCATGTAATTTGAATAAGCACTAGTTACTGAACCAGTGCCTGGAATAACGAAGCATTACAATTTTAAGACTTCCCTAACTTCATTTCACAAACCAGTTTGACAACTTGAGGGCTCAGAAACCCTATGAAAATACCATGGCTTAAAAGAATTTAAACAGCTCGGCTGACCTGCAGTTGATATACAACTGCAGTTGATATACAGTGTTTGTTAGAACAGATTCACACTAAGATGTTAGGGAAAGTGAAATTAAGTACGAATTGTAGTAAGATAAATACTAAACAGAAGTCTAGAAGAGAAGGTCAAGGAAAACCACAGGAGAAACAGTGTCTTAAAAATCAGCTTGTATACAACTGTAGTAGTTCACCAACTACACAAATATTTGTGAACTAGAACATGACCTGGGGTGCAGCAGGGGAGAAGCAATTCTGCAATTTTGGGGATAAACACTTGCCACATTTTTCTGGAGGCCAGTGTTTGTTAGAACAGATTCACACTAAGATGTTAGGGAAAGTGAAATTAAGTACGAATTGTAGTAAGATAAATACTAAACAGAAGTCTAGAAGAGAAGGTCAAGGAAAACCACAGGAGAAACAGTGTCTTAAAATCAGCTTGTATTTGCTGTCTATCTAAAGGAATATTAGTTCAGTTAATCAGAACTGCAGGAAAACATCACAGCTGTTGACAGTCAAAACACTCCTTGATTTCAATGGGAAAGTCTGGTGCTTCAGGAATGGAGAACGATCAGATCGATAACAGGAAGACGGGATAAAAAGAACATACTAAGATCACAGCACCCTATTATATTTTCGGTGTTACATACTAAATGTTCCCATGTTAAGCAGTTACTTGGGGATAAACCAAGTAACCATATTAAAGCTATATGTAGAAACAGCTAGGGAACTGGACAGAATGAACAACTGAGTGTGCATTTACATTTTTAAGTGAATATGAACATCAGTAAAAGAAAAAAATAAAGCTGAAGCTAAACAGTGCTAAGTATAATTTCTCTTATCCCATGCTGTTTTGTCATTATATTCACATAGCAGCTACCACTCCAAATTTACACAAATTTGGGAAGAAACAATCTTTCTCTCAGCACTGATAGCTACTATATGGCACTATGAATTACAGTACAACAGAACCAATGACAATAACTGTCATTTTAGGCAATCATACAAAAACTTAAAGATGGATCTTGGAATTATATTTATATACTACCATCCAATTAATTTTCTCTAAAGAAAGAAAAAATATTAGAAAGGCACATTAGAACAATTATTAACAAGATATTTCAATATATCACATCACAAAGGCTCTCCTTTATCTAATCATTAACACAATTCAACAGGAATCAAAATCCATGCAGTTTGGACACATCATTTCCCCAAAACCTTTAAAATATCTCAGTGTGCAAATAAATTTTTTTCCACTTTTGCTAAAGGTTGATAAAGGTCAGACCCATTATCCATTATACTGTCAAGAACTGATGCTGATGCCACTGCAGCAATCATAATATGTCACAGGATGCAAGTAGGTTGCAGCTACAATGTAAAGGAGATGGAGTTGCAACCTGCTTATCACTATTAACAGTTCATTTGAGCAACTTCACATTTCAAACATATCCATTGAAGGAATAATAGAAGAACTTAAAAGAACTACCTTTTATATTAAAAGAAAGGCTATCCTTTATTTTATGATTTTTAAAAAGAGTACCACCATAATGACAATTAGCCTGTCTTACTTAAGATATTAAATGAGCTTTTATATCATAATCAAGTTGCTCAAAATAAAAACATTACCCTGTTTCACTGCAAGAGTTTTAGCAGGTTTGAAAAAGGCACTAATAAATAGATGAAATTAACACAAGTCAGTCATACCTTTAGCCACAGCTTCTTTATACTTTTCTTTGGCAGAATTTACTTCTTTTATTAGTTGTCTATAGCTAGATTTTAGTTTCTCTAGTTCTGTCTTTGTGACCTTTAAGAAAACAGAAATATAAAAAGTATTAAAAATACTTATCCTCAACATACAAAAAACCTTATAGCATTAGTGAAAGAGAATTGACAGGATTCATTTTCCAAAATAAGGATCTTACCACTTTTTACATTGGCTTGAGACAATCTTAATATGATATTACATGGTGTAACAAAATAAAAATCAATAAATGCATGGAATGAAAGAAGAGGCCTGAAACAGAGATCCCCATCCACATCAGAGTAATGAAAAATATGTTTAGGAAATCCAGCTAATCATAAGCACTATTCCATTTCAATGACAAAGAAAAAAAGCACCAAAAAGATGCTTAATAAATGATACTAGATGAAAAAGTTCTATGCATAGGAAGGAAATCCTTTAGCATCTATAAAAAAAAAAAAAAAGGTCAGCTAGAAGACTTTTCAGACATTACAGTTCATACAAACAGCAACTGTGCATGAACCAATCTATCTATTGAAAGACTTAAATCCCTAAAAAGGAAAAGAAACCTACCAAAAAAAACAACCATAAAAAACAAACAAAGAAAGAAACTGGAACACAGCACTGAAGAGACTTTTTACAGTGGAAGTAGCTCCACTTAACATGACATTTTTTGTCAAAAAATTAAAATAAAGTTGTCTCTTCTATCCCCGACTTCCATTCACTGTGTGACAAAATCAGTGCACAGAGCATTAACCACAAATCATGAACTTGCAAACAAAAGCTAATAACAAACCAGCCACTACTTTACCAAGCTGGCATATATAGTAAAGAAAAGTAAAAACTCTGACAAAAAGAAAAAAACACACTCACAAGGGGAAATCGTTGAAGAGGAACCTAATTTAATGAAGTGCTCCCCTCAATGAATATGCAGAAAATGAAGTCCATTCTACAGAAAAACTGTTCCTCTTGCAGCCGGCATGAAGAAGGCTGCAGTTCACAACTTGCCCTTTTTCATAAGGCAAGGTCCAGATACCACTACTTTCACCCTCAAGAACAACATCTGGAAACTTAATGGAACTCCTCAAAGAGCCAACAAGGTGCAATCTACAGCTTCTATTTCCAGGTCAACTGTGCAAAGATTTAAATTAAAGGCAGGAACTTTTCTCCACACCAATCCCATATTCTCATCTCATATTTTTACATACTGTAAATTACACTCATAACTGTTGTTATTACAGACTAATAGAGGTGATACAGGAAAAAAAATTACCTTTATGACAAACTGGTATTATAAAGACAACGTAAGAAATGGAGAAAAAAATGAAATTAGGAAGTAGTGAACACAATTAAGAGAGAAATAACAAGGAACTGCTTCTCTTACAGAAAACTGGGAAATAAAAGTTAGGCCACCAGTATCAAGAAACCTCTGTAATAATTGCAAAGTATATTTTACTGATTCTTGGACTGCGTTCTTCCAACAGACAAAAGCAAAACCAAGAGCACCTCTGTCCCCAAATAACACTTAAGGAACTAAGATGGTCAGTTTTTATATCAAAAAGTATTGCCCACGTAACTAGCATAGTAGTCTACTTTTTCCCCTCAAATTTCATGAAGAAAGAAAAAATACCTAATATCTTAACGGGAATTGGAATAAATCTACAAGATAAGATTTTTACTACATTTTTGTAAAAGACATGGTATTTCACTGTCCTTATACATTTTATCAAAAAGATTCCTCACCATACAGGTGTCTAGAATAAGAAAGGATGATATACATGCATTTCACCTAAAGGAAAACACATTTTTTGCCAATATATCCCAAAGATATGAACTGCAGAGACACTGATCTTCACAAGGTTTGGATAACGTCCTGGGAAATAATAAGTACTTTGCTTCTGCGTGTAACAAAAGTAGAAACAATACCACAGAACATAAGTATTATTTTGAATTTCTGGGAACCATTCTGTAAGTGCTCCTTTGAACAAACAATGTCAGCTAACAATGAAAGAACATATCATATCTAACCAGAATGCTATTTAAATGCTTCTTAGGAAAATCAGGAAGAGGGGAAAAAAAAAAAAAAAAACAAACAAACAAAAAACAAACAAAAAAAAACCAATACCAAAAAAAACACAATGCAAGCTTATTCATCAGGATGCAAAATATTTGCATGGCCATGCAGCCCATTATTACTTAAAATCAACATAGTTTGTAATCAATCATTTGGGGAGTGCTCAATATGCACTGTATATTTTTGAAAAAGCCTTCTTTTAAAAGACAGTTTCATTACATATTTTATTAGGGTTAACTTATTAACAGAAAAAAAACATGTTTTGCACAGCGTCTTTTAAAAGTACACCTGAATTTTCAGCAGTCTTGTTTCATCTAGCCTCTCTCTCTTATGTTTCTTTCTTTCTTTCATCTTTTCTCCAATTCTCCATATATTTAACCTCTGTTATTTCTAATGTATGCTACCACTTTTTCCTCTTCTTCCAACCTGCACATTTTCAGATGCACTAATCCAGAAGAGGCTTTGAGTAATTATTTGGCTTGGAAATTTTATCAGATAAGGCAGCCTACTGACCATGCATCAAAAAGGTTGTATTCCCCATAGTCAATACCTGGGAAAGATGCCAAGATCCTAGCATATTATGGAAGCAGTCCTATTAGACCCAACTTATTTAACTTAATATATGTTTAGTACTATTTTACAGTTCTTCTCATAACCAGCCCAAGGATCTTTTACTCATCAGTCTATGTCATTTCTACTGTACTACTCCGATGCTACATTTTAATTACACTACTCCAAATCTCAAATTCCCTGTTGGAAGAAAGAAGAAACCGTGCTTTCCCTCTTTCAGCAGACCTTTCAGACTACCAATCCGATTTTTGACATTTGAAGCTAAACTTCCCACAGAGCACTTGAATGAAACTCTGATTTCTGTCACCTTTACTGACTAGATGCAGTGCATTCAACATAAGGAGGACAACTTGTAATATAATAGAAAAGGCCCTGAAGAACTCCATCTGCAGTCTTAATACTTGGTTTACACTTTATTTACATTTTAGAATAGGGACTAGAATCCTGTCTCCAGCCAAAACAGTCTGGACTCTCAAGACCACTCATTAACAAAAATTTTCAAAGCTCTAGTCCCAGGGATGTCTAGAGTGGAATAAGAACAGGAAGAGAGATGGAATAGAGAACTGCCACACAGAATCATCCTCTACTGGAACAAGAGCATTTCCAGTGCTATCTGTCCATAGAAATTCATATAGAAGAGTTTTCCATCTCTGCCTTGACAGCTAGCAGAGGACAGAAAACGTAGAGGAAATAACTAAAATTTTAACTAGGCATTCTACATATCACAAACCACTACTTTTACCACAGCACAAACAAAAACAAAGCAATTAAAAAAGACCCACTCTCAATATATTACTTTTTAAACATACAAAACTATAATAAATTTATAAAGCACAGTTGAACAAAATACCTTGTACATCTCTGCTTCAATTTGTTGATGAACACCTACGTAACTCTTCTTAACTTGCTGCTTATCTTTGATCATCATTGTAAGCCTATGCAAAGGCCCAGAATTAAGATCCTCTGCATGTGTCTTCATTATTTTGCTCAGCTGTTCTGTTTGCTGTACCACAAGCAACCAAGACTACAAAAAAAAAGAACAGAAAAGTACTTACTTATTCTGGCTTGTAAACAACCAATGAACATGAACTGTTGGAAAAGATGCATGGCTGTTTAAAACAATTCGGTTAGAAAAGAATTTTAAACTTACCCAAATGCACCTGAGATCTTCTAACAAAGTTTTTCCTGCTACAGCAAAATCATGCCTCAAACGTACTCACAAAACCGTAACAAAGCACCAGAGACAAAAATATAGTATTTTATGTTCACCCTTCAGCTCTGTCCTAGTATTTCTGAACACTGATGAATGCTTTACAGCCTCTTTTGGAATACATCCCCCACACCCTGACAAGCATGTTCCTCTGTCCTTTGTTGTACTTCCCAACCACAGTTACTCTGTTCAAGCTCACTTCTCTGCCCTTGCCTAAATACCTCACAGTAACATGCATTTGAGTCGTTACTGTTTAAAAGGATAACATTCATCAGCTGCTTCACGTAACTGACAGCATCAGAGTCAGGCCACCCTATCAAAGCATAAGGTGCTAACAGCTTAAGAGACACAAGCAGTAACTCCTCTGTCATAGTAACCCAAGATCTTTCTGTACCCTTACTTCAGGAACTTCATAGCCATTCTGTCAGTCAGTTTTCAGCACAGCTTAATGTGCTGCGTGTGGCTTTGAATTTTGATTCCGATCTGTAAGGTGAACATGGACTTCCAACGCACCACAGATACAAACATGAAATTAAAGTTCAGTTCAAATAAAACCGTTTGTTACCCTAAAGATCCCTGTCACACTTTGTTGATGGGAACAGTACTGGATTCCTTAGAGATAACTCCCTAACACTGAATGCTATGCTATTATCTAAAATTTCAGAATGGCTACAGGCCATACAACTATCAGGTTTTGAAGGAAGTTAGTATGTAAGTTTCACTAGCATTGAGGTCACTCTTACTAAAGACAGATATCCACCTTGGATCACCAAAACTTAGAAAATTAATGTGTTTGGTGGCTTTGGTGTTGCCCTACATCTCATACATAAACATACATACATAATACTTCCATCCCTACATGACAATGCTGAAATGCAAAATGGATTCTAGAGAAGGAAACAAAAGACAGTTAACTCTTGTATACATTAAACCATCTTTAACATTTCCTTTAGCTTGTAAACATCCCACAGACTGGCACAGAGCTATGTTAGACTGCTTAAAGTCTGGTGTTACAAAAGGTCACAGCCCAAAGCTTCCCAGCTGTGGTTGAAAACTCCTTCACCTCTCCCTCACAGAACACTTTCCAAATGACATCAGAAGCCATATTGCAAAGCTGCATAGGATAAAAACACTATTAAACATCTGCCTGAGAGGATTGGGTCTTGTGGTTATAGAAGAGTTCATAAGAGTGCTCTCAGAGCTGAAAATGTAGTCAGAGTTCTGATTTTCTTTAAGGCTGATTTATTACTGATGAGACAAGTACTGTTTCAATCAACCCTGAACATCATAGCAAAAGCATTTTTCAATAGGACAAGCCGTCTAAGGAAATACTTAGCTTACAATTCACTAAATGAACTTGAATAAGTCAGAAACATAGCAAAAACTTCCCTTTCCATTTAAAAAAAAAAATCATTTGCACATTTTCCTGTTCTTTACGTCCCTCTTCCCATACTGAGAAACATCAGTTAAACAGAATTTCTGTGTTTTGTATTATTATATTTCATTATTTTAAAATAGGAAAAGCTAAAGTGAAAAGAAACACTTGAGGAATGGCTTCAAAAATTGAGATTTATATGGGACAGAAAAGCAGATGGGTGGGGATAGCAGAAAAGGCAAAGCATTTCCTTTCACAGAAAATAACCACAATCCATCAAAACCAATAAAATATAGTATTGTTTGGTTTAACAATATCTTTTAGACATATATGTGCACAAAAGAGCTGTTGGGAAGCACTTAAAAATACTGCTTTTCTAGCATTAGCAGCTGCTGCCACTATGCCTTCCAGCATGTTTGCTGCCTTTGCATGAAAAAAAAAAAAAAAGGACAGATTTTCCGAAACACTGTTTCTCTCAAAGTGCTCATTCTTGCTGTACATTTAAAAGAAAAAAAAAAATTAGACAGCTTGGTATTTGGTTTTGATGCCACATAATACCAGAAATGTAATATACAGGTATTTTAAATCTCACGAGATGCAAGATACCTGATTTATGTCCTATAATATTTGGATCATACTTTGATTCTGTAAAATGTCAGGAAGAGAGAAAAAGTAGCATGAAATAGTAAAGTAAATTAGAATGAGATGAGTAAAGAAATCAATAATTCAGACATTTTAACTGCCAAAACCAGTAAGAAATCCAAGGTGACAGTGAAATTTCAAGGCAAGCCCATACAAAAGATCTGTGAGTAGCATACGAATATTTTTGCTTTTATATAGAGATGTAAAGATCAGGGATGGGGCTTGAGAGAAAAATGGCACCTCCTTAAGAGAAGAAGAAAAAAAAAAAAAAAAGAGAGAAAAAAGGAACAAAAATAATCCTGAAAGAAGAAATTGAGTGCCTATGTCCAAAACAAGATTTCAAAATGTGGCATGTGTGCCCCTCTTCAATCCAAAAAGAATACGGTTTAAGTCAGATCTTCAGCTTTTAAAAATTTATCCGCTCACAAAAAGTGCCCATGTCACTGACATGAACCATCCTAGACTGAGCTAACTAGATAAAGGTTAAGAGCTGCTTATACCTTATAAGGCTAAATATTCCAATGTCAATGCTCCTTTGCTGTTCTAGCCCTAATCTGCTCTGTTTCATTGCCGAAAAGAATTGCAAGACAGTTTAGCTAGCATGTAAGAGCAATTCTAACAGGGCAGCAATAGCAAGAATTATTAGTCTTATCACCAATAATTGTACACATATATATACAACAATTATATACAAAACTTTGGGATCCAACAGTAGAAAGCTTGAAGGAAATACCTGGCTTCTGCCAATCTTAGGTTAATGACAATGGTTTGATGTTTATTTACCAAAATCATTATAACTTAAAGAGCAAAATCTATAACAAACTGTGTATAAGAAACATAATTGGATGAAAAGCATTTCAAATACACCACCAAAACACACAGATGAAAACAAAAGCTAGTATGTCAATTTACAAGACAAGAATTATTAGGGGGGGAGAGAAGCAACAACAGAATTTGTTATAGATAAAGACTTGACAGTGCTACTTTAGGGGCAGCTGAAGCAGGCTGGCTATAGCAGCACAGCTTTCAAGTCACACACACATCACCACTTTACTCCAGTACAAATCGAGACTGCTGCAGAAGGAGCAGTCACGTTCCTAATGCTATGCCATAGCTAGTATTCAAGCAGCCAGCCCATAAGCCCCCTACATAAAAACTGCTTTGTGTAAAACTTAACTTGACCCAAAAAGGGTGTTCTCCTGAAGAGAGGAGATCAGGATTCGGGTCAGACTGAAGGGACTCTGTAACCACTGCTACAGCAGAGGGGCCAAGAATCAAGTAAGCCATTAAAACAGAATAGTTTTCTCTAGTCAGGAAGGAATACAAGTCAGGAGTGAAGCTTATAAACAGGTGAAACAGGGAAGTTTGCTTCTTCGGTACCTTTACTGGACCTGCTCTAAATCTGAAAATTAAAAATCTGGGGGAAGGACAGCCTTACTTTTATTAAAAAAAATCAACACAGTTATTTTAAATTGGATCCAAAATAACTTCACAATTATGAGAAATATCCTGAATTAATGTTTGTTTTTACAACACATGCTGCAGTGTGAATAACAGCTGGAATGCTAGGCTTTGCCTCCATTTCCTGGCATTTTTCTATTTCTGTCGCAAATTTTGTATAGCATAGACAATATGCTATACTTCCCATTTAACTGTCTCAAAAGAAAAGCTTACTATAGCATACTCTATTTTCAAAATACTAAACAAAGTAGCAGGCTTATCCCAGGAACCTAAAAAACTGAATTTCGGAGTTCAGGATTGATTCTATTTCTGTTATTATTTTCAAAGACTGGAGCTCAGCTTCTCCATATTCCACTGAGGAACTAAAAGGAGTCCATTTTAAATACTTCGGCAACATTAACTCTCAAGAAGCTGAATGAACAGAAAACCAACTCAAATTAAAACAAACAAAAATAAATCCAGCACTGTTACCTCCAAGGATATTCCAAATTCAAAATACTTCAGTCTTACCTTGGACACATTGCTGATATAATCCAATTGACAAGTGCTGTCTTTATCGACTTGATTACAAAGATTCTGTAAAGTGGAGGCATACTCCTTATCACTTTTTACACGCATTACCATAAATTTCTTCACTGTTTCCAGCAGTCGTAGTTCCCAGTCTTGCAGTTTTAATAAAGCATCATGAGAATACTTCAGGTCAGCTCCAAACCCCATTTTTTAAGGCACTATATACCACACAGGGGAAAATACAAGCTCTTCACCACATCTGAAAGCAAAACAAGATTCATGAGACACATATCAAAAGAAAAAATTCTAGTGTGACAAAAAGCAACTATTAATGTCTAAACCTTGAAATAACTTAACAATAAGATTAACCACATACATATACCTCCTCAAAATAAACCAAGAGGAGGGTCAGAGCACTGTTTTGAACATGCGTATGACTGGAGGAGATCTCAGGCCCAGAACTGACCTCCAGCTTCCATCTGTAAAATGTCCTCCCTAACTTAAAGTGGATTTATAAGGGAACACAGAAAAGCACCTAGGACAGATACTAAAGACCAATCCACATATTTAATGAAGTAAGTATAGCTGACAGTATCTCCAGATCAAAACTGCCAACTACACTGTTCTACTCTTGGTGACCTGAAACATCTGTTTCTGGTATTTATTGTTCTAAGAGCACAGAAAAACCCAAATAAAACATCAGCTCTCAGGCACTGCATCTGCGGGAAACGGATAACTAGTTAGAAGCTAGTCTGCTCCTAAACACTGTGTTAGCAGGCCATGAAACTTGCAGACTTCACCTCCCAAAAATCAGAAAATATCCCAAATCAGGTTCCCCATGCAAATGTCCATTGCTCCCCTGGGACACACATTAGCCTTAAGGTCACACAATGTTCCCCTAAGACAGTCCAGTCTTACTGTACCAAACAGATATAATTTGATAAACAGATAAGAAATGCTGCCTTATGAAATCTTATAACACAACTGCAGGTCAAAGACACCTGTTTGGGCCAGCTCTGAAACATCTGCATCTGACACTGATAAATAAACATGCAGCCACATCACGAAAGACCTGAACCCACACATATGAGTAAATTCCACAGACTTGCAAAGCTTTTGTGATGCAGGGTGACCCCTCTTTCCTGTGTATACACGAAAAACTTGTTCCTATACTCACCAGCTTCAAACTAGGTAAGATACAACTTACATAAACTACAGTTACAGATCTGGACTGCACTGCGGACACAGCCTGTATACCGTGTATTCACTAATTCCTGTACTCCAGCAAAGTCTTAGCTCTTCGGAACACAGAAGGACCAATTTCTTCATAGGTTTTAAATTGCCACTTAAATTAGCAGAATGTTTTACAAACATTAACATATTTATCTTCCTAACAGCCCATGGGGCAAAGCAGGACTAATAATCTTATTTTACACCGAGAACTGAGACACATAAACTAATGTCAACAGTGTACCAGATAATACCAGTACGTACAAGGCCTAAAGACAGACTTTTCAGAGTGCCTAGCATTTGTAGCATATTAAGTATCCAGAAAAAAAAAGAGATGTTACTGGCTTCAGTTACCACACAAATTTTCTGAAGATTTTGCAAATCAGAACCTAGAGCCATCTCCAGGGTAGCCTGATTCCCAAGACCATTCCTCCCTTCCTGCCTCTGTTAGCTCTTCCAGTAAGCTACAGAAATAAGCCTCATGCACTACCTGTTTATTCTCAGAACACAAACCATGCTACATAATGAAAGAAACAAAGATTCTATAAAGAAAATAAGATTAGTGCCATGTTACTATGCATCTACACAACAGAGACAAGTCAAGGTTGTATGAGTAACCTTAAATCTATCACGAGCTTTCACACGCTCTTTAATTTGAAGCTGTATATTTTAGTCAGAATTCTTGCTGATGGCTAGAAGCTCAGTCATAAAGAGCAACAGTAAACAATTCACGCTGGCTGTATTTATAAAGGATGGACTATGTCATTATTAGTTGTATTAATTATATTTTCACTGTTAAAATTTAACAACAGTCTTGCAAAACCACTAATATTTTAGTAAGATGAGCAAAAGAAAAAAGTCTTAAAGTACCTGCTTATTAACATGACTGGAGCTACACTTGTGATTTTTCGACACCCTTGAGATCTATATCCACTTTTGTGACCAAGCTCATTTTTCTCCTAGCACATATTAGCATATTACCTAAATATCCTAGCACATTAGCTATAAGAAAAGACAGTATCTTTATTTTCTTACATTCCAGACTCAGAAGAGGTGGGAACTGAATCTCAGGATGAAGTCTGGCCTTGTGCTATGAGTAAAGTGCTGGCTTGCTTGCTTTTACTCTGTCCTCTGCCTTTTACTGTGAGGCAGGACAGGAAGGCAAGTGAGGAAATATCCTCAGCATTCAATACTTCAGTCTGCTTCTACTGACTCACTGTGGAGCCATAAGATTACAAAAATCAATAGAACAGAAGATGCAACATCATCTCACTCCATCCTGCCAAGCCTCCCTTCACTAAGTAGTAATTAGATTTTTTCCGATCACACTATTAGATGCCTGGGTACCTACACAAAAATTGTACACATACTGGACTCCAGTCTTTGTTTTAAATTATTCCACTCACCATGACAGAAGCAGCACAGCAAAAATTCCTTCTGCAAAAGTGATAAAATCCTGATTCAGTAAGTGTAAAAGCATAAAGTCTCAGAGCTGATGATTCCAAACTGGGTAAGCCAGTCTTAGTATGCCTTCCTTGTAAATTAGGAAAATGTTCAATCAAGACATTCAGCAAAACTCAAATGCTCCAATACTGTGGAGGCAAAAAAGTGGCGAACAAGTATCTAAGACCTAAGCCACTTAACCACTGATAGGCTAAAAACCAATGCTTTTAATTAAAACCACTTCTTTAAATTCTTTAACAGTTTTGAGCACTTTTACACAACTGAAAGCAGTACAGATGACAGTCACTTACTTGAAGTCAAAACCGTAAGAACTGCAAAACACATGAATAGATGTGTTCTATGCAATCTGTATTTCAAATTTCTTAAAAGCACAAGCACAGCTCAAAAGGCCAATGTTCAAAGAGACAGTATCTGGCACCAATACAGACAGGTGTTTTTCCAAGTTCGGTATATCCCTGCTCAGTGCGCACAGATGAGTTGACAGCTGCCCTACAGGGTCAGATTGATAGAATATTTCAGCTGGAAGGGACCTACAATGATCATCCGGGCACAATGACCCATTTAGATCAGCGTTTTGTCTCCAACCATGGCACCAGTACGCGCTGTTTAAGGACAGAGAGCGAGTTGGGCTGCTATTTGTGGCGCGATCCTTCCTATGCTTCCCATGTGCAGAGCTACTGGATTACGAAAGAAAGTAACAAATAGTCCCATTTTTTGGCTTTACCATACAAGATTACAACACTCACAGTGAACATGAAAAAGAAACACAGATTCCCACACAGATTTTGCAACCACAGACTACTGGCAAAATTGAGTAGTGCAACAAAAGAAAAGATTTACTGTGGAACCAGTAGGAGATATGGGGAGTTTGAGACAAACATATTTTCTATGCCAATGTTGAGAAGATGAAAATACAAAATATAGTGTGAAAGAGATTTGGGGGGAGAGGGGGAATCTTTCTCAAAAAACTTGGGAGAATATTTTATCTTAAAGGAAAAAAACAAAAAAAAACAGAGATGACATCACGTTTTAAAGTAGCTACATGGAGAAGTGATGACAAAGAACACATGATATGGTAAATTCATACAGAAAAAAAAACAACTTCGGTAACTGCTTACTCTTACTGTGAAGAGATCTTCCCTACTTCTGGCAGATACCCATGAGGCTTAACTCTTCTTCCACACATGAAGAATGCTTGCATAATTTGACGTGCCAGTGAAGTCTCAAATTGAGTTCTAGCACGTTTTGTAAAAGTAACAGAATCCCAGTAGCATCAAATAGAACTAATGAGTTTCAGCTACTTTATTTTGAAATGTTAGAGAGGTATCTATATGTTACTATAAAAAAACAACTGGATAAGTAAATAGCCAATCAATATTTGGTAAGCTTTAACGCTGCAAATACGTCTCAAAGTCAATTCCAATAAAGCAAGACTTACTTTCTTAATGTCACTCTCAAAATAACAAACTAATCACTGACAGGAAGTAAACACTCAATGTACATTTGATAATACACTGTGGATGAGAATCAGACCTTGAATATTTCTAAATTTACATATAGTTACTGAAGGCAGTTCATGACTTGTCTCAACCACCACCACCACAGCAGTGCAGTCAGATTCCAAACAAAGCAATGTTAAATTTTGTCAGCATGACAGTGAGAAAATTCAATGACAGTCACGTAATTCTTCAATACTGTAACACTCCCCTCAGCAAATAAAGCAAATATTCCAGCATTAGTAGACTTCCTGGATTCTAGCAACAACTCTGAAGAAAGTAGTTTTCATAGCCAATCTACATTTAAAGATTGCAATCCATCCATGACACATGACAGTGGCCATACCATGTCAGATCAAAGGTCCTGTGTGTCTGGCAGTGACTGAAATCAAATGAGCAGGGAGGAACTGAGCATGTACCTAGCAATACTTTCCCAGGATGCTCTCCTACCCTTATAACAACTGGTCCCTTCTGCTATATATTGCCATGAAATATATCCAAGGCTGTGATTGCTAATCTTAAAGTAATGATGGATGCACATCCATCACTTGGAACTTGTGATTTCATAATATCAGTGACAAGACAGGCAACTGATAAACCAGAAACCAGATGCACACCTGGGTCCCAGTTAAATTCAGAACAGGAAAGCACAGCATGCATCTGGCCCCTCCAGAAGGAGGAATATGGAACAGGCACAGTGTACAGAGAGCATCACTCTCACACCTGATCTGCTGTCAACTCCCTTGCTCCTAAATCTGCACAAGTTTCAAATCACTTAGCATGTCTTATATTTTGCAGACCCTTTCTAGAAACATTAAGAATACTGCAAAAGCAGAAAAGGAAGAGGACTTGGATTCCAGAGATGAATCCTCAAATTCAAGGCTTCTGTACCAATTTAAAAGCAATTTTATAACAGGTGATCAATTTGTTAGACAGTCCATCTCTGAATTTCTGAATGTGAGGCTTATAGTAGTTACATGCCATTAAAACAACGAAATAAATCATTCTTAGCCTTCCATCCACACCTCAAATAAAAATTACACTGTTAAACAATTGACATTTCTGTTAGCATAGGATCCACTCCTGGAATGTACAAGACCATGAAACATAAAACAGATGCTTCACCTATCATTTGTTTACACTAAGCACATATTCAGAATATTATCTATATATGCAGTTGATGTGAAATATATGGAACATGAACTAACTGAAATAATGCTTCCACAGAGCTACTGCCATCAATAAACAACCAAAGTGGTAAACTAAAGCTAGCCTGATCATTTCAAAACTGATCATTTCAAAACACTCAAGGCAAAACAGGCAGCTTACTTTCAGGAAAGCTCTTCTGCAAAACATAGCTCACATACCTTAAAAAATTTTCCTCAAGAAACGATCATTAGTACACTTCTCTCTATGTCAGCAGCTACTTCTGATTTTCACTTTCTGAAATATACTTTTATTTTCTGGGGACTCTGTGAAAGAAAAACAAAACAAACTTTTTTTTTCATTATTTCAGCATTTTTAAATACATTGCAAAACTTAAACTGAAGTAATTTGCTTTGCATTTTCGGATTATTACCAGAAGATGAATTTTTGTTAAAAAAACACAGAGTTCAAGAAAAACGAAAGAGCAGACTTCTCAAATGAATGCAAGTAGTAGTATGCTATCACTTCATACACACAATTTTGAGAAAAGAAATTATTTTGTCTCTATACAAAGTTTTTTTTTTTAAGTTCTTGGAATTTCTTATGAGACAGTGTGTTGTAGCCAGAAAATCCGGTAATTTCATTTATTTCTGAACTTTGCCCTTGATAAAACAGAAAGGACTCCTATTAATGAGGAAAATGAAAGGATGGAAGAGCCAAATTCCTTGTATGAAAGACAAACTTAACAGTGGTATTTTCACTAGACTACAAGAAAACTAGTGGCAACATGAGAAAGGGATCAATCACGACACAGAAATTTCTTATACATCCCTAATTACTCCAATATCTAGAACTGCAAGAGGCCAGAAAGTTAAGATGACGGCAGCACTAAAATTTCAAGCTGTAACTTTGAACTGCAATCTAGGTGAAGCAAACGGCAACAGAAGGCTGGATCTTTGAGGTTCTATACTAAGAAAAAAGCATATAAAATATGAAAAATAAGAAGAAACAGGCTTTACATACAGCTTATAAGTGCAAGGTATACTGTATAAGCTACATCTGGACTAATGTTAAGTGTTCACTCATAATCTCACACCAGAACATCAATATTAGTTTAGCAATGCCCTTGTAAGAAAAGACAGACACAGTGTGTAAGGGTAAAGAAAAGAGAACTATTTTCAAGATCTCCATGACTTAAAACAAAGCACTAATCATGGACACATTTATAAAATCTTATAGAGAGATAGTTTTAGTTCATATTCAAGCAGACATTATTTAGTATTCCTTTCTGGTTACTTAGTGACATTCTAGAAACAAAGTGCTGCCTAATATAAATACAAAACTTCCATTCTCCATGACCAAAAATAGAAAAGACTGTAAGTGATGCTTGCATTCAGTCACTGCAAAGAAACAGCAGCTATGCAAGCAGATAGAAAAGGAGAAAAAAAATTGCAGCAAGCTAGAAGCATTACAAAACTCATCATATTTTTAAGAGATACAAAAATATTTGTTGCAAAGTTGCAATGCCCAAGAGAAAGTCTTAATCAGCAAAAAATTACAAACAAGAGCAAAACATTACAGTAAATTTGGCTCCAGTCCTCTTATCACAAATACCAGAAAAAAATACCATCTGGATACACCAAAATATCACTGGACAGAAGCGCTATTTCTAACCCTTTTCCTGTTTCAAATGGGACTCATGAAAGTAAAACACGTGCTACCACCAGCACCTGAGCACATTCAGATTTCAAGCAGACATTAAAGAATCGCATGTGGTAAAATGAATCCCTTCTGAAAATTCTACTTATTAAATGAAACAACAGACTGGAGCCACTTAGAACACAGACAAGCTGCATCTCCTGCTCTTTGCACACAGACAAAAAGCACATGTTTTTTATAAAGAACCACTCTATCACATACGTAAGAACGGTGAATTTTATTTGTCAATATAAAAATAAAATGCAAACCAAACTTTTCTTCAGAATTCCAATTATTACTGAATTTTTATCTACATGCATTTTTTTATCTATATACAGGTCATTATTAGAATTTAAAACTGGTAATGCAAGTCCAATACTGGTCTAATTGATAGGCGTATACTAGCTAGTACACAGAAGCATAATAAAAGCTTGCCAGTGAACTACACAGCCATCTGTAAGAGAGTAATAAAATGTTACAAAATTCCCATTGCTATTTCTGAGCTCAAACATAGTAGAACCTGACAGTTACAGACAGCTTGCCACCTCAATGCAATAAGCCACTAGATAATGAAGATACAAAAGAAAGAATTAAAAGAAGATAAGGATAGAACAGAAAAGCTACATGATCTGTTGTTTTCTGAAATTACTGCCAAGACAGTCAAAGTCAACCCCACACCACAGCCTCTTTAGATTGGAGATGTATAAGGCATTCTCTCAAAATGAAGCATCAGAGAAGCATTTAAAAATATCAAATTAATAGTAAGAATTCACCAGAGCCAGATATTATTCAGCTGAAGTGTTAAAGCATCAAATATGAAATTGCCGAACTACTGACTCTGAAAAAACTTATGCTTAAGGTGACCTAGGTAAAGAGCAATGGAGAGTGGAAAAGATAATCAAATTTTTTCAGAGCTCGACAAGGCAATCAGGAGAAGCGCAACAAAGACAGCCTGACTTCCATACCAGACAAGGTGGTTAAACCATACTGAGAAATTCGTAGACTGGAATAATAGAGAGGAAAAAAAACAACACAGCTGTTGTAGAGGAAAGTCATGCTTTGCAACTTAAAGAGTTCTTCGAAGGACTCAAGGATCCTGGGGATAAAGGTGTTGGAAGTGGTAATGAACAAAGGACATCTAAAAAGTTTCTGCTGATGTCTCTCACAGGAAGCTGTTACAGAAGTGAAGACCTTGCTGGGTAAGGTTTGAGACAAAGATTCATAATGGAGAGAGTCAGAAGCCTCACCAGAGTCTGGGCCAGGACTTGGGCTGCTGTTCAGAACGGTCACCTACATATCTGTCATTTCACATATCAACTGTGCTTAAGTTTGCAAATTATACAGAATTACTACAAGCAATCAAAACCGATATGTCATTAAAAAATTTGCAGAAGAATCCCAGAACACTGAGCAACAAGAATATAAAACAGCAGATGAAGTCACATGCCAGTAAATGCAACGTAACACACTGGGAGAGAGAACTGTAGGTCATTTAATGCCATTACCAGAAAAAGGCCTGGTAGTCTCTGAATATACACCTTCAAAGACATCTGTTCAGTGCTTTGAAGTGGTCAGGTTAGGAACCTGAGTATCAGAGTATCAGACCTTTTTTTTAACGAAGGGAAGAGAGAACATAACATATTCTTGCAGTGCTGATACATTTGGAGTGTTCCTACACCTTCAAATTATTTCATCTCATGAAGAATGCAAAGCACCAAAAAAGTATAGTTAATATTGATCAGAGTATAGAGCAGCTTCTGCATAAAAAAGTAAAGAGAATTTTTTAGCTCACAAAACTGGTAAGTATCATAGGGTGTCAGATCAAAGTACAAAAAAAAATAATCATGAGATCGCAGAAAGTGACACGGTATGCAAGACGCCTGAAGTGTTTCCCAGAAGAACACAGGAACATCAAATGAAATTTTTAAAAGGTGCTCTTAAGTACTTCTTTGCCTAGTAAATAATTAAATGAGAGAATTCAATGCCTAAAGACATTTTTGAGACCAAGAAACAAACAGGTTCAAAAACTATTTTTGAAAATAACAGAAAAAAAACAGATCTGTTGAACAGGAGAACTTCCATCTCAAGATGTCTCTAAACTGCAAAAACAGGACAGCAATTATTATTTCACATTTGTGCCAACAGCCCCTTCTTATCTGACAGTAGCAAGTACTGAGCTAGACGGACTTCACTTGATCGTGTACAAACATCCTCACACCGTGCATTCTCACTCTGCAGCTTACGCTGCAGCTGTACAAAGACCACAGCTCTCCCTAGCAGCTCTTGCAGCTGTGATCTTATGAAAAATATATGCAAATAAGAAGCAGTGAGTGCATTCAAAGAATAGGATTTACACTTGCGAGTAGTACAAAACAAAAAAAAACCCAAACAAACAAAACAATAAAACCCAACAGATAAAAGCCCAGAAAATAACTCTTAAACCCTCTGCCTAGAATTCCAAAACACACTTCCTTTTTTGGATATACAAAGTTTTCCATTTACCTGTTGGAATTCTTTTCACTCATGCAAAGGGTTGTAATAGACATGATGGAAGTCATTAACAATCACAGAATCATAGAATTGTTATGGTTGGAAGAGACCTCAAAAATCATCAAGTCTAACCATGTACCCAATACCACCATGCCCACTAAACCATGTCTCAAAGAGCCACATCTGAACAGTTTTTGAACACCTCCAGTGATGGCAAGTCCACCACCTCCCTGGGGAG